CCAACCGTAGACTGTATACTAGGATGGATGATGTGGCAACTCCCAGAAGGGAAGTCGCCAGGAGACCATCAGCCACTGGTGGCTGGTTGTCTTATCGGTCCTAAACCCCACCCCCTGAATGTTAGCAGCTGGGACATGAACCAAAATAAGAACTTAAAATATAAACCAAATAAATGTTCCCAGAGGTGATTTCTTTGGTTTTTGATAGACATTATTGTGCTGATGTGTGTACAAGTGGTCATTTTCCTGGCAGGTTCGTTTTATAATGAGGTATTTCATGACATCAAAAAGGGGGTATTTCATATTATTTGGCAGTTTGATTAGCGGTCTGATACGTCACTCACCCACTCAGTAGCTACTGCACAGAATCTGGTTGCAAAATGCCAAGATGGCAGCTACTGTGTTCACGATGTTGTGGCTTCACTTCTGCATAGTGGAGGGAAGCGGCGACTCGTCATCCATCTTTGTTTACAGTCTATGGTGCCAACCTGGAAAGTCTTACAGAAAAACATCACTTTTTGAAGTCAAAACTCATGCCAGCATTTTTGCCTGTTTGTAGGTGACTTACTGTATCTGCTGAACTTGTGTGTGCATAATGTAACCAAGCAAAGAACAGATATGTAGTGCTCAGGAATTTGCTTTAACCCGACAGAAGGTTTTCAGTATCACAAAGTGAGTAATTTCAGGAGAAGTTGAGTCTAAAAGGACACGCCCCATGTCTTTGTTCAGAGTCCGTTACATCTCCAAGAAGAGGCGCAACTTTACCTTGAATTGCTCCTGAGGGCTTCCACAGGGGTTTATCTTTTAGAAAAAAAATCTAGCTCTGTGCACATACAGGGACTATGTATGCGTCAGTATACATTGCAGATGAACTGGAGGATCCGCGCTGAAATTCTGTTGCTGTACTTTATCTTTTATCTGATTAAACTGCATAAATGACAACACAGAATAAATGTTTATCCTGACATCGGCACAGGTTTCATGTCTGTTCTGTGAGAGACTGTAAATCGGCCCAAAAGGTATTTGAGTGTTTTGAGACACTTGAGTCATAAATCAGTTAGTTATGGAGCGGCAGCTGCGAGATCAGCATGTTCTAGTGTGTCAGAATGAAGAATTTAACACGGGTCTGTCAGACGGCCTGAAGCCTCCACAGACCAGGCTGAACACACAGTCATATATGTTCACACACACTCTGTCTGCAGATAGTCTCTCTCACACATGTACAAGATAAAGAACACAAAATGTGTGGCTGCAATGAAGGCCACCCACCCACACACTATGGTGTGTGGTCCACACCATCAGGTCAGCTCTATTCACCAAGACCGTCATGTGTGAAGGTTTATAACCTATAGATAATACATAACCAGATAAATATTACCAGAAACACACGATACAAATACATTTACATTAGAGAATCAAACACATCACAAAATCATAATCTTGCGAGTAAAAACCAGAAGTCTAGATACACATTAGTGACTTCCTGTTGCATCAGCGTAAAACATGTTTAAAGCTGCCTAATGTTCTTTCAGCCTGAAGGGTCAAGCAACAAAAGCTGCCTCAAACCACTCTCTGCCCCTCCCATCAGGTCCCGTTTCCTGAAGCCAAATGTAAACTACAGGGACTTTACACAAATATGGTGGAGCCAAAGAATTACTAAGGTCTCTGAGGCTCATCCACTGGGGACCATGAACGACAAACTTCTGCTAATTAAATCACAAAGATGTTTCAGTCTGGACCAAAGGGGTGGAGTGACTGCCCCAGAGACACACTGCTAGCAGCCCACTGCCAGTGGCATCTAGCCTTGCAAATTACCGACCTGATGGAGGACATTACAAGTGCTATGGATGAGAAGAAATACACGATGGGGATATTTATTGACCAAAAAAAAAGCATTTGACACAATAAATCATGAATTATTAATGGACAAGTTAGAAAAATATGGGATCAGAGGAATGGTTCTGAAATGGATTAGAAGTTATTTGACACAGAGGCGTCAATTTGTGAAGTTGGGTGAATACCAATCGAGTGA